GTCCGCCACAGGGCACCTTCCACCACGCCAAGTTAGTACTCCCACTGATATACTAACGACCTGCCTCATTACACAAAGTTCCTTTCCATTAACGCTATCGTTACTAGAATACATAAAATGTCTTCATCAATTTGCCATTGTCACTACGAAGGGTCGACACAGTATGTGTTGCTCTTTCATACATTTCTATCAGCCTCAATCTACGTAAAATGTATGGGAGTAAACACGTGACAAGCACAGGACTTATAGAAAGTTATTGTCAGTTCTATTTTTGGCTTTTTGATTAGCGAAATTGATAATCGAATGTTACTTTGTCAAAGGAAGCTGCTTTGGCTTTTCTACAGCATCAGTACCAAATTTATGTAGTGAAGATTTTATTCGCATTCCAGCTTTTTCTTTGTTATAGCTTAGTCAGAATTTGATGATGATGATGAGTGAAGTGTCATTCGATTTGTATTGGAGTTGGTTTTTTTAATTAGTTTTGTATGCCTGTTTCCAGATTGCCAAGTAATCTATCAAAGAACCGGTATACGGACGTGCTGTGCTACGACCACTCGCGCGTGCTGCTGTCGCAGACTGACCCGGAGGACCCCACCACTGACTATATCAACGCCAACTACGTGGATGGATACAAGCAGAAAAACGCATTCATATGTACACAAGGTTAGTAATGATGTTACTATAATTTCTAGATATTAAAAAAAAAACTGACTATTATTAACTTCTTACTAATATTATCTACCCGGATGTTTAGGTGGATAGATGTTTGTTAAAAGGTATCTTCAGACCGACTCAACGAATTCCGATAAAATTTGACACAGATATAGAACAAAGTCAGGAAAAGAACATATAATATTTGTATTTTTGTATGTATAGAAGAAATAATTTAAAAAGTATTGGGCCGATTTCATAAATTCTTTGCCTATTGAAAAGTTCAATAACATCATATTTCAGACTAATGTTATAAATGCGAAAGTTTAAATAGACGGATCGATGTTTTCTAAAGGTTGTAAGCTAAACGGCTGAATGGATCTGGATGAAATTCGGCACAGAGGCTACTTACGTTTTTTTAATTCCACGCGGACGGAATCGCGAGTAACAGCTTTTCTGTACTAATGTGTGCGAAGTCGCTCGCGACAGCTGGTATATAAATAGGTAGAGTATAAGGCGATTGCGTGCGCAGGCCCGCTGCCGAAGACGTTCAGCGACTTCTGGCGCATGGTGTGGGAGCAGGGCTGCGTGGCGCTGGTGATGACGACGCGCG